GGGGAGGAGTAAGGCCAGTAGAAGACGGGACACCAAAAACCTGCTGAAGCAGGGGAACGAAGTACGGTCGCGGCCGCACACTGTCTCCAGCACCTCCAGCTCTAGGGTCAACAGCTCCAGCTCCTGCAGCTCCAGCGCCTCCAGCGCTAGTGCCTCCAGCGCTAGTGCCTCCAGCTCTAGCAGCTCCAGGCTCCGTAGGGTCTCCAGCTCCAGCGCCCTCAACACCACCAGTCCCGGCAGCTCCAGTACCCCTGGTACGAGCACCTCCAGGACCAGTAGCCGCAGTGCCTCCAGTACCACCAGCTCCAGCGGTAACTCCAGCACCTCCAGCTCCAGCGTCTCTAGCGCCTCCAGCTCCGGTAGCTCCACTCCGAGGGTGGGCGCGCCGAACAAACCCCTCACGCAGCTGCTGCTGAGACAATCACGGCGAAGCACCAGCAGGACCTCCAGACGAAGTCTCACCCCGAGGCTCAGCACCCCCAGACTCCGCACCCTCCGACTCAGCACCCCCAGGCTCAGCACCCTCAGGCTCCACACCCACAGGCTCAGCACTCCCAGACCCTGCACCCTCAGACTCCTCACCCCCCGGCTCCGCACCCCCAGACGCAGCACCTCGAGCAGCACCTGAGCTGACAGCTACCTGAACAGGCGCAGGACCAGGGAGAGGGTCTACCTGAGACACACCTGAGGGAGCAGGACCTTGGGGCGGGAGGGGGTCTACCGGAGGGGTACCAGGAGCAAGAAAGAGCGGCGGGGGCGGGGGAGGGGCAGAGCGGTAGGGGAAGAGACGGTAAAAGGGAACCGACTCGTCAAACGTGAAGTCCTGAGAAGGGAAGACTCGGCGCGAGGTGGGGTGGTAAAACTGTCAGCCAGGCGCGTCAGGGACAAAGCCAAGGAAGACGCAGGGGATAGCATGGGGAGAGAGCTTATCCGCGGACGTAACGCGAACAAAGGCACGAGATCCCCAGACCCGGAACACCGACGCATCGCCAACCTCCCCCGTCCAGCGCAGTGTGGGGGCGAGGTCTCCGGCAAGGAGACACGGGGCGAGAGGTTGAGCTGATGCGCAGCGTACCGGACCGCAAACGGCCATAGAAAATGGGGAGCAGCCGCATGGATCATGGAGGTACGAGCAACCTCCGTGACTAAGCCAATGCGGCGCTCAGCAATCCCATTTTGCTGAGGGGAGTTCGGAAGCGTGAACGACTGGAGAATGCCCTCCCCACGACAAAATTCCCGCAAGAGGTTGGAGGAGAATTCACCACCTCTGTCAGAGTGCAGACGCAGGACAGGTAGGTCCTGGCTGAACCGCTCGCGAAGCTGGAGACGGACTGTGCGGATCCAAGGGATCAAGACATCAACGACCTGACCCTTGCTGCGCAAGGGGAAGACCGTGGTGTACCGCGTGTAGTTGCCAACAACTAGCAGAAAGTAGCGCTCGCGGCTTTGTCCACTGACGCGGGCTGGGCCCCACACGTCCATGTGGAGAGTGTGCAGGGGAGCAGTCGTCGGGGGAAACGAGGAGGAGTGAGGAGCAGCGCGCTGCCGCCCCTCGACGCAAGGAAGGCAAGGCAGGGCAGGCGAGGGCGGCAGGGGAGGCAGGGACCTGGGAAGACCAGAGACAAGAAGACGAGAGTGCATGCCACGAAGGCGTGGCAGGGAGGGGTGACCCAGGAGGTGGTGCCACAGAAGAGTCTGGTGCGACAGGAGGCGACACGAGCAAGAGGCGGCTACCTGACCTGACGCGGACACCTGAGCAGACGCAGCTACCTGAGGAGGCTCGGTAGTGAGTGTGTACAGAATCGACCCTGACCGACGATTGAACGTGGCCAGGTGACGCCCCATCCGTGTGCACATGCAGATCGACACACGCTGACCCCCAGGAGTGGTGGTAGTGACCATCGCATCCTAGAGGGCAGCGGTACTCACCAAGTTCGTAGAGAACGAGGGGAGGTGAAGACCCGGACGGAACCGCCGGACACGGGAGGACAGTGGAGGAACAGGCCACGACCGGGCCCCCAGAGTGGTCAGCCAGTCGCACCGGGACAGGTGCAGAGAGAGGAGTGAGAGTGGTGCTGTCACGAAAGAAACAAGCAGAGGCGCCTGAGTCCAGTGTGAAGGTGTGCAAGGCCTGAGCAGGCGCAGTACCAGGGAGAGTACCAGACTCACTAGCATCTAGAGCAGCAGCAGCTATACCTGGGTCAGGCGGCACACACCGGTAACAGTCACCCTCAGCACTAACAGACAAAGCATACATGGCAGAAAGAATAACATCAAAGTCTAGGTCAAAGATAGCAATCCTAGACCTAAGCAGATCTGCCCAGCGAGGGAGCTCGACGTCGTCACCAAACTCAGCACGCCAAGCGTCATTGAGGCGGGAGAAGCAGCGGTGCTGAGTGTGGAGCCGCCCGCAAGTCTGACCAGCACGGTCACCCGTGCGAATGACATACGGACAACTACCCCCAGACGCCCCACGCAAAAACCACTCACGAAGCTGCTGGGGCGACTGGGTCTCGCTGCGACGCTGCTGCTGCTGACGCTGGCCACCTCCAGAACCAACACGCCGAGCGCCAGTACCACCGCAACCAGTCCCACTGCCGCCACTGCCGCCACTCCCACCGCTGCCCCCACCGCCGCCTCCAGAGCCCCCACTCCCTCCACCAGTCCCAACGCCGCCACCACCTCCACTTCTGCCCCCACCATTACTCCCGCTGCCACCTCCACTACCACCGATGCCACCTCCACCACTCTTGCCACCCTTGCCCTTGCTGCTGCGGCGCTTCGCACTAGCAGAAGCAGCCTCGACGCCCTCAGCAACAGAGACGTCTGCAGCAGCAGCAGAGGCGTAGGAGGGGGCAAGTGGGGAGGGGGAGCACCCCTCAAAGAAGGGCGGGCGCGGAGTGCCACGAGCAGCACCTACAGCAACCGCACTAGTCTCAGCGGCGAGGAGATGCTGCTCGAGGAGGTCAACAGTTAGGGAGGTGGGGTCAAGAGAGAGGAAGTGGTCCCTGACAGAGCGAAGAGAGTCAGGGAGGCGAGTGACTATGAAGTAGAGGGTGATGAACATCGGGGGCTGGTTCCTGTCAAGGAACTCAACAGGGACGGTAGCGCGGTAGCGAGCATCGCTAGTGCGCAGGTGGGAAACCAGGTCCTCGACTGTGGCAAAAGCTGACAGCTCGGGGAACAGGTAGGGCAGTAGCAGTCGGCCAAGAGCAGCAGTGGCATGCGAGGAGTAGCGAGCTACGAGTGCGGCGTATAGTGCCTGTGCTGTCCTGTGCTGTCTGAAGTGAGCGCATTCAGTTAACGGTAGGTGGTTGCGAATGGCTAAGCGGGCAGGAGCGTCGCGAGTAAGCCACTGTGAGCGAGTCGCACTGTCAGCTGTGGCGGGAGGGGCAGTAGCAGCGCCTGACGCTAGGTCAAACAGCGAAACACTGTCCTTAGAATCGCTCAGTAGGTACAGCTGCAGATCATCAAGCCACGTGTCAAACTGAAGCGGTCAGCCCTCATGATCAAACACTAGAACTCGAAGCGAAGCCATCGGGGCACAGTACGTAGGAGCAGCAGTGGCAACAATAGCAGTAGCAGTAGTAGCAGTAGCAAGAGCAGCAGCTGGGGCCGAGGGGCCTGGGGTCAAGGGGCCGAGGGGCCAAACACGAAGGGGGAGGGGGGGGGGGGGGGAGCGAGGGGCCTAGGGGCCAAGGGGCCAAGGGGCAGAGGGGCCGAGGGGCCTAGGGGCCGAGGGGCCAAACACGTAGGGGGAGGGTGGGGCCGAGGGGCCTAGGGGCCAAGGGGCCAAGGGGTAGAGGGGCCGAGGTGCCAAACACATAGTGGGGGTGGGGGGCCTAGGGGGGGGCCTAGGGGCCAAGGGGCCGAGGAGCCAAACACGGGGCCGCGGGGCCAGACTAGGAGGGGCCAAGGGGCCGGGGGCCTAGGGGCGACGGGGCCGAGGGGGGGGGGGGGGGGAGCGGGTCCTAGGTCGACTAGGCCGCGGGGCCATGAGCGATGGGGCCGAGGGGGGGGGGGGGGGGGACTGGCGCCTAGGTCGACGGGGCCGCGGGGCCTAGGTCGATGGGGTCGCGGGGCCGGGGGGGCCTAGGTCGACGGGGGCCGGGGGCCTAGGGCGACGGGGGCCAGGGGCCTAGGGCGACGGGGGCCGGGGGCCTAGGGCGACGGGGGCCGCGGGGCGACGGGTCGTGGGCGACGGGGGGGGCCGCTGGCCTAGGGCGACGGGGGGCCGCGGAGCGACGGGTCGTGGGCGACGGGGGGGGGGGGCGCGGGGCCTAGGGTAGGGGCGACGGGGCCGCGGGGCCGTGCTAGGGCGACGGGGCCGCGGGGCCGTGCTAGGGCGACGGGGCCGCGGGGCCTAGGGTAGGGGCGACGGGGCCGCGGGGCCGTGCTAGGGCGACGGGGCCGCGGGGCCGTGCTAGGGCGACGGGGCCGCGGGGCCGTGCTAGGGCGACGGGGCCGCGGGGCCTAGGGTAGGGGCGACGGGGCCGCGGGGCCGTGCTAGGGCGACGGGGCCGCGGGGCCGTGCTAGGGCGACGGGGCCGCGGGGCCTAGGGTAGGGGCGACGGGGCCGCGGGGCCGTGCTAGGGCGACGGGGCCGCGGGGCCGTGCTAGGGCGACGGGGCCGCGGGGCCTAGGGTAGGGGCGACGGGGCCGCGGGGCCGTGCTAGGGCGACGGGGCCGCGGGGCCGTGCTAGGGCGACGGGGCCGCGGGGCCTAGGGTAGGGGCGACGGGGCCGCGGGGCCGTGCTAGGGCGACGGGGCCGCGGGGCCGTGCTAGGGCGACGGGGCCGCGGGGCCTAGGGTAGGGGCGACGGGGCCGCGGGGCCGTGCTAGGGCGACGGGGCCGCGGGGCCGTGCTAGGGCGACGGGGCCGCGGGGCCTAGGGTAGGGGCGACGGGGCCGCGGGGCCGTGCTAGGGTGACGGGGCCGCGGGGCCGTGCTAGGGCGACGGGGCCGCGGGGCCTAGGGTAGGGGCGACGGGGCCGCGGGGCCTAGGGTAGGGGCGACGGGGGCGAGCCGTGGAGAGAGGGAAGCCCAGCGGCCGCGTCACGAGGTTCACTCGCTCCGGGTGGGTCCTGGCGTGGTAGGGAGAGAGGAGGGGAGGAGTGGATGGAAAGAGAGAGGGGGGGAGAGGTAAGATGTTGAGTAGGCGTGCGGTGGAGAGAGGAAAGCCCAGCGGCCGAGTCAGGAGGCTGGTCGGGGTGGGTCCTGGTGTGGAGGGACTGGGGGAGAGAAGGCTTTGGTAAGGATTCACCTACTGTCTCCACGTTCCTCCAGGGTTCCGTACTGACCTGGAAGGCCTGGGTAAGGATTCGCCAACCGACCAGAATCGCAGTGGCAGGTCATTGAATTCTCCTACTTAAATCGCACTGGCAGGGAATAGAATCGCTGGATCTAAATCGCACATATAAATCAGATTCGCCGGCTGACCAAAATCGCAATGGGAGGTACTTAAATGCACCCACTGACCTGAATCTTACGTAGTGGCAGATGATAAGACTCGCCTACTGACCTAAAATGCAGTGGCAGGTAATCAGATTCGTCAACTGACCTAAATCGCAGTGGCAGGTAATAGTTAAGCTCGCCTTCGAACTCGCCAACCCTGCCCACCAGATGCGACCTCGGGGACGATTGCTGACCGTTGATCGCTGTCGGGATCATTGCGGTGGGAAAGGGGGGAGAGGGAGAAAAAGGAGTAAGGAGATACTGAGGGATCGCTGCAGCGTCGCGAGCTTTCGTCATGATGAAGTCGACTGAAAAGGAACGTGGGAGAGTCGCGGCCTACTTTCGTCACCACCATTCGCGGTGGTGTCCTTCGTGAATCCGTCGGATGATGCATTGACGGAAACCGTCAAGAAGACAGCAACGACCAGCCGTAACACCCGGAGACCAGCAATGGCGCGTGCCACCATTAAAATCTGTCAGGTGAATGGCGAAATGAGCGCGATTTCATACAACGCAGTCTAGTAACTGGGGAAAGACCATGACTGCATTGTGCGACGGGAGGGACTATTTGCAAGAGAGCGCCTAGAGAACGAGAAAGAATTGTTCTTGGGTTGCCGCGGAACACGTACAGGGATGGACGGTGAAGACGGTGTGTAGGCTCACTTGTCAGGTGAGTTCGCTCACCTGGCATGGCAGATTGGCAATAAGGGAGGGCTCCACCAAGGCATGGGAGTCTCGTGGATTGTACAGTTCGTGTAGATTGTACGTGTTGAAGTGCTCAGAAAAAATCGCATTCCAAGCGAGATGTGGCTCTCCCAGTCTTCGGGAGTTGGCGCTGGGTTGGTGAAAGGAAATCCTGGAATATATATTGCACTGCAATGAGTCAGCCGGCAAGGAAAAAAATAAAACTTCTGATGGTTGGACTCGCTATAGTCACATCCCAGCGGGCACTCGGAAGGCACGCCATTCGGGAAGCATCAACCCTAAAATTTTAGGGTTGAGGCTCCCGAATGGCATGGAGTCGGAATGGGTTTTAGTTTTTTTTCCGTCACAACGCTACCAAGTGCAATATATTGCTGGATTTGTTACTTACGGCTGAAATTTAGTCGTCTCTTTGCTCACCGCCCAACACAGCGAATCACCTGATTAGACTCGCCATGTCAGCCCCTTGACTTGACGTGTTCTCTGTCACATTGGGTGCTCTAAAACCACGTGTTATCATTCAAGCGGCTACGAGTGTCTGCCACTTCCATGGATGTTGGCTAATCAGCTTGCGGAGCTCAAGGTTGACTGGAAACAAAAGTAGACAAAAGATTCATCACATCCTCGTCACAAGCCAATGTACAAACACGGTCGATATTCATGAGACTGTACCTGGATTTTTTTTTTCATCTAGATTCTTATGTTTTCCTGCCGCCATGGATTCCATCAGGGTGTTCAGGGTCAATGTCAACCAGCCTCTCAGTTAGTACATTGAGGCAATAGGTGTCAAAACATATTTATATGTTCTTACTCCTGCTAGGCTGCAGTGAGGTACTCAGTATGGAGTACAACCCCAGCTAGGGTTTACTACTTGTATCTCACTCTTGCATACTTCATTCATTCCTGCATAGTTAACTCTCAACAATAGGCTCCACACGTTTTATCTCCAAAATTCTAACACCATGTTTTTTTGTGTGCGTTGCATTGATATGTGTCTACAGTTCCGGTAGCACTCACCCTTTTCCGGTATTCTACCAAGGGAGGGATTGATTTTGCTCGCTCAGCTGTCCCGGGGGGGCATATTATAGCCTTGTAATATTCTCATCAAACAAGAACTGCACTTTCTCCATGAACGCCAGTGCAATGCACAACCGCATCATACGCAGTAAAGAAAGAAGCTATTTAAGCGCAGGATGCATGAAGATGCGTGAAGCAGTCACTCCATACACCTAATGCAACTCCAACTTTTCCCACTTCCGTCAACATAGAAGCGTTGTGATAGCGAAATTCAGTCCGTTCATCTGCCCTTGGACTTCAGTGTTTCACTCAGCCTGCAATTGCAAGGGACAGAGGTGGTTATGTAGAGAAGATAGAGATGAAATGTAGGACTTGTCGATATAGCCATCAGAGAAGGTACGTGCCATGCACCATGGACTGTGCAGCATGCACCATGCAAGGATGCAAGGTGCAAAAGCGCACCATGCAAGGATGCACCATGCAAGGATGCACCATGCAAGGATGCACCATGCAAGGATGCGCCATGCAAAGATGCGCGATAAAATGCACGATGCAAGGATGACGTATGCAACATCAACCACGCAGCATGACGCATGCAATATGACCCACGCACCATGACCCATGCACCATGACCCATGCACCATGACCAATGCACCATGACCCATGTACCATGACCCATGCACTAGCCAGCACTGCTCTCACCAGTCCAGGCCCTCAAAGAGCCCATCGCCCTTGACAGCAGAAGTCTTATATGATGACCCATGCAACTTGGCACATCTAACAACACAACCCACCCAGCAGTCAATCTCACCAGTCCAGCCCTTAAAAGAGCCCATCGCCCTTGACAGCTGGCGCCTTGTAGATGGCCCACGGACGACTCTTGATCTTATGCAGCCCCAACCCAATTGCTACAGCCCCATGCACCATGACCCATGCAGCATGACCCAACACCATGACCCATGCAGCATGACCCATGCAGCATGACCCATGCACCATGACCCATGCACCATGACCCATGCACCATGCACCATGACCCATGCACCATGACCCATGCACCATGACCCATGCACCATGACCCATGACCCATGCACCATGACCCATGCAGCAGTCAGCACAGCTCTCACCAGTCCAGCCCTTCAAAGAGCCCATCGCCCTTGACAGCTGATGTCTTGTAGATAGCCCACGGACGACTCTTGATCTTATGCAGCCCCAACGCGTCTGACACTTGCACCTCACTCATGGCTCCGGGCAGATCCTGAGAGATACAGATGGGTGTGGGTGGATGGAGATGAGTAGAAATGGGTGGAAATGGGTGGGATGGTTTCCTTAAGTTGCTCAAGCTCTCCAGAGGTCTGGCTCCTCCTCCTCAACCAGGGATTCAAGCAGGTTATAACAGACAGACGGGTGGGTAGGGATGTGTGCAAATGGGTGGAAATTAGATGGAGATGCGGGGCATGGTAGACTTGGATAAAAGAACTGCCAGATCCATGGGCCGGCATGAAAGAGAAAAGGTGTAGATACAAAAGGTGGGGATGCGAGATGGTAGGGGGTGTCAGAGTGGCATGATTATGGAGTCTGAACAACAGTGTTGCAAGTCAAGAACACGCATGGATGCATATTGATGACTTTTCAACTATGCAACTCATGAAAGCAGATTGAATGAAACAGATATATATAAGAGTAAGACAAGTCCCCAGACTTCACCTGTTTGTTTGCATACACCAACACCACAGCTTCCTTCAACTCCTCCTCCTGAAGAAGGCACCAGCAAAGGAGGTGGAAACACATATAAGAACACAGAATGGTACAGCTCACAGAAAGGTATAGATTGTGAGGAAACTCACAAGACATGAAGGACACAGGGACATCGAAGCAACTGACAGACTTGATTGAAGAGAAATTTTCGTTTTGACATCTCAGAAGCAGTTGATGTTGGAATGATTCAAATGATTGAACGAGCATGATGAGACATTGACCACAGACAAAAAATCCGATGAGGGAACCTCTGGCATAATCACTGTTCGTTTTGAGACCACTGGGTTCAGCGCACACAAGAAAATGTTGCAAATGAGTTACAATGCCTTGCGTCCATGCACACCATCATCGAAATATCACCCCAGTAGAGTACTCACATTGGCCCTGGTATGTAATTCCTCGGCCGTGCTAATTCTGTGAAGTCGATTCTTGAGACATCTCCAAAAAGCACTGCTTCAAGACGTCTCAGAAAGCAACAGCTTTGAGACATCTAAAAAAATAGCACCCACATCGAGAATGGCGCGAAATTCCTCCTTGGACGTGCCGATTCTGTCCAACATATATAGCCGACTCAAAAGTAGCACTCACATCGAGAATGGCGTGAAATTCCTCCTTGGACGTGCCGATTCTGTCCAACATATATAGCCGACTCAAAAGTAGCACTCACATCGAGAATGGCGTGAAATTCCTCCTTGGACATGCCGATTCTGTCCAAGATATATAGCCGACTCAAAAGTAGCACTCACATCAAGAATGGCGTGAAATTCCTCCTTGGACGTGCCGATTCTGTCCAACATATATAGCCGACTCAAAAGTAGCACTCACATCGAGAATGGCGTGAAATTCCTCCTTGGACGTGCCGATTCTGTCCAACATATATAGCCAACTCAAAAGTAGCACTCACATCGAGAATGGCGTGAAATTCCTCCTTGGACGTGCCGATTCTGTCCAACATATATAGCCGACTCAAAAGTAGCACTCACATCAAGAATGGCGTGAAATTCCTCCTTGGACGTGCCGATTCTGTCCAACATATATAGCCGACTCAAAAGTAGCACTCACATCAAGAATGGCGTGAAATTCCTCCTTGGACGTGCCGATTCTGTCCAACATATATAGCCGACTCAAAAGTAGCACTCACATCGAGAATGGCGTGAAATTCCTCCTTGGACGTGCCGATTCTGTCCAACATATATAGCCGACTCAAAAGTAGCACTCACATCGAGAATGGCGTGAAATTCCTCCTTGGACGTGCCGATTCTGTCCAACATATATAGCCGACTCAAAAGTAGCACTCACATCGAGAATGGCGTGAAATTCCTCCTTGGACGTGCCCATCCTGTCCACGTCTGTGGAGTCAACCACGTATATGACGGCCTGTGTGTTTGGGTAGTAACACCGCCAGTATGGTCTGTTGAGCACACACACGAGGGTAGGGACGGTTGGGGAACAGTAAGAAAAGAAGGAGAGAGAAGAGGAACGAGACGGGATGAGTAGAAACGCCACCAGCACGTTCTGCTGGGCGCACACGAGCGGAAGGGATGGTAAGAGCACAGCAGGAAGAGGAGGAGGGAGAAGAGGAAGGTGACGAGTTGAGTGCTGGGGAAGTAACAACACCACTACAATGGTGCGAGAGAAGAGGCAGGGTGCAGGGGGGAAAGGAAGGGGGCGACGAGGGAAGTGAAGGGGAGGGTGAGTAAGGGGGAAAGGGAAAGGAAAGAGAAAGGAAGGGGATCGAAGCAGAAAAAATCTGCAGGTCGATTGAAAAAAAACTGCACACAAGTCGAACGGAAAAAATAAATCGAAAGCGCCACAAATGAAGC